ACAGTCTCTTACAGTGATTACATTTGTTAGATTATTCTCTTCTTGACAAATGATTGTTTAAAACAGAACAATAGAGTTTGTAGCTGACCGGAGATATAGCAATGCCTCTATGGTTGGAGGGGTCACGACGGTCATAATTAAACCGTATTAAAATTCTTTACAATAGGTTGTATAACAACTTTTGACCAGCAATCAGGAATGACACCATATTTAAAACATACATTAAAAGTTTTATGGAAGAATAAGGTTCTTGTTTTATTTCTTAGTACTTCGATATGGATATCGTCTATGCCTGTAGCTTTGCCTGTCTTGGTTTTGGAGATAGTGTATGTGTATCACTTCAACGGTGATAGGTTGATGCAATGGGGTGTCCTCCCATTACGCAGACAGGCATATCGCAGACGCCTTAAAACAACAACATTTACGGTTCAATGAACAGATTAGCTACTACCCGTTATCTACACATTATAATGGAATAGTCAAAATAAAAACGCAAGAAGAAAACTGAAGCTATATTATTTACTTTGAAAGATCGCCGAAAAGACATTAATTTGAATTTTGAATGCTGCAAAAAAAAGAGGTGATTTTCATAAACATTTCGATTTAACCTTCTCGTCTAACGGGAGTTGGCATTATCATATTGAAAATATTGTCCAGATGACATCTAAGAAATGGAGCATTTAGGAAATTAAAGTTCCTACTAAACAGTTCTTCATGATTTACTCCCACCTGTAGTAGGCAACCATGTACAAGACTGAGGTACTCAACATCATCTTCTATTCCATCAACAGTTAAAATATGGAATAATATTTCCTTAGCTATTAGGAATTGCGACTCTGTTGCATTATTTACATCTTATATCCACGTGGAAGAAAAGTGTGCACCTAAATAGTATTCACATGGAATAAGGAAGTTAAATGTTTTGCACACAAAATTAAGATATATATGACGAGTACACTTAATTATGATTTATTTAGAATAACTGCAAAAAATGACGCATCATGTCAATGTGGCCATGGAGATGAGAATGTTTTTTCATTACTTCCTTGAATGCCCACTGTATACTAATCAAAGTAAACTGTTACAATCTTTTGAAAGTATTGTTAAAATTAGAGCATTGACTGGTATTAATCTTATCTTTCATGGCAATGTAGGTTTCTCATTAACTGAAAATCAGAATGTTTTCAAATATGTACATATCTATATCTATGATTACACAATGTCATTTATCAATATCTCTCAAACAAAACATTTTCTCAGTTAACTTCTGTTGTACATATCCTATTATTGGGGGAGGGCTTTTCTAAGTTGGGTAAGTTGTGCCCAATCCTTTTCTTGAATGCATAAAATGTTTCAATCAATAAACACAATAAAACCTCAAACCTGTTTTTATATTCGATAATATTGATAGTAAAAACAATTTTGAGAAGAGAAGACAGATTATCATTTAATCACAACAAAGTTCTATTCTCAGTAACGAACCTGCTTCAGGCTCACCCTACGCTTCTCACTGGACAGTGGACTGTTCCATAATACCCGTAGGTGTTACCCTAATTAACCTTCTAGTTTAGTGTCTGTCTATTAACTGTCTGTCAAATGGGTGTCTGTCAATTGGGAGATAACCTCCAATGGATCACTAACGGGCAAATCCTAACGGCCACTGGTATTGGGAGTGTACCAAGGGAAGCATGAGGTAAACACACGGACACCGTATACATTGCTACATCTGTATTCTAGTCATGAACAATACCAGATTCTTTTCATATTATAAAACATACGCGTGTTATGAGCATGACGCTTCTGATTTTCAGAACTTGAAGCGCTTTTATAAGTTTATTTATGCGTGGAATGTCCGCAATTAATTTACTTCATTCGTCTTTTGAAATATATGTGTCCCTAAAAGTGTCGCTTTCACAGATAGAAATTGTGTAATATCGATTACAGGAAGGTATTATTTCACACAAATGGAAACACGTTTTGTTGCCGAAAGGTGTAGCTGAATCCGCATACACCCGTTGTCTGTTAGGCTGACACCTGTTGCGGTGACAATTGTCCCGACGGGTCCTGTTCTTGATGAGTGGGTGTGATGTTGTCAGATTATCACGGGTAGTGTGCAACACAGGATAGCTAAAGTCAACAGTAGCGTAAGAACTGAGAAATACCCACACTTCAATTTCGATTGTCGGTGTGGTATCGATGTTTTCGTTTCTCCATTTTTAGCGTTGGTTTCCATTCCCGAATAAAGACCGTGTTCAGAGAGGTTTGATGTAGTCGCTAACCGCATTTCCAACACAGCACCAACACGACGTAAGCGAGTCTGTGCGTGTCGTTCCTACTGCGTGCTAAGGTTTCACCCGGTTGTCCATTCACGCTGATACACCAGCCTAAACATCGGGCAACCACTCCAGTCATTTTGGGGGCGGTGGGGTAGCCTAGTGGTTAAAACGTTGGCTCGTCACGCCGAAGACCCGGGTTCGAATCCCTACATGGGTACAATGTGTGAAGCCCATTTCTGGTGTCCCCCGCCGTGATGTTGCTGGAATATTGCTAAAAGCGGTATATAACCAAACTCAGTCAGTCAGTCAGTCCTTTCATCTTTGGGGCGGTGGGGTAGCCTAGTGGTTAAAGCGTTGGCTCGTCACGCCGAAGACCCGGGTTCGAATCCCCACATGGGTACAATGTGTGAAGCCCATTTCTGGTGTCCCCCGCCGTGATGTTGCTGGAATATTGCTAAAAGCGGCGTAAAACCATACTCAGTCAGTCCAGTCATTTTGAGTCATTCATTAATGTCTGCTTCCTATACTACCGTCAAAAAGAAAGTATACCAAATATTTTTGCCTGTTAAAATCATAATTTTGAACCTAGATCCAGGAAAATCTACAGAATTAATGTCTGCTTCTTAGTATTGATTATAATATATAATGTACTATATGCGGAGGAGCACTGATATACATGAAGGCCTTTTTGTCCTTTTCCCATTTTGTTATGTTATGTAACATGTAAAATGTGAACATTCTAGATTCATTAATATGATAATATGCATATGGCGCCCCCTATTGTCCCCTACAGTTACTTCATATAGTACTCACGTGCTTGTGTATTGTGAACACGTCCACCTCTTCCAACCTCTTGCAAATAATCCTTGACGTCATACGCTGATCAAGAGTAAATAACGTCACCTACATTGTACAATTTGTACATTGAGGCGGGTGCTGAAGGATGTCGATACTAATACTGCACGCTTTGTACTTTGAGGATCCATGCATGAAGAACAAATGCTTGGACTGTAGCATGTCAAATTCCATATTTCGGTCATCACTGCCTGGGCTTACACATGATTTGTGCTGAAAGAATTCTTGCCAAAATGCCCTCAAAGCTATCTAAATATACAGCTTTCCAACCTATGGGGCGTACACAAAATAACTGCAGGGGCGTAGCTACCATTATTAAAAAAAAGCTCGGGCTTACACATGATTTTGAAAATTAAAGTTGGGCAAGCCCTCAACACTATCTAAAAATATTGTTTTTGCTATCGGGCTTACACGAAAAAATTAGTTTGCTATACGCGCCTGAAGTGGCTTGTTACCCGCCTCGCTAAAGCTAAACAACAGTGACAGCTAGAGATCAACTGATAATTACAAGCTCTGTGCAGATTTGTGTAACATCTAGTCTCTGAACTGAATATATCTTATAGAGAAAACGGTTCACAAATTATAATAATAAACTATATACTGAAAAGGAGCCATGAGCAAATACTTGAAATTTCAAGTTTTTGAAAAACAAATTGAAACAAGAAGAAAATATTCGAAGTAACTAAAATATAATTGAAGTAACGAGTAAATGTCGAAATTTCAAGATTTGACTGAAACTTGAAGTAACGAGAAAATACTCGAAGCAACGAGAAAATATTCTAAGTAACGAGAAAATAGTTGAAGCAACGAGGAAATGATCGAAGCAACGAGAACATAATCGAAGTAATGAAAAAATATTCGAAGCAACGAGAACTTTCGCTGTTTTTTTCTTTTAAGCTACAAAAGTAGGCTTTCGCACAGACTAGTGCAGACCCTGACCACTATAAGGGCCTATTCGATTATGCTAAACCATGCACTCGATTATGTCGAAACCTAAAACTGGGTTCTGAAACTTCGAAACAATCTCCGAGGCAGGTTTCGCAGTTTCAGTTTCGCGTTCTCTCACAACAAACATGGCGGAAACGAAAGCGCTAAGTTCAGCTGATCTTGGTGGCAAAATAGAGCAGCAGTTTTTGGAACCCAAATTATGATAAAAGTCAACTGAGAACTAGGAAAATATTATTTAAAGCCCCAGTCTTTTGAACATGACTATTTTATGTAACTTGTATATATATAATTACTTTTAACAGTATAATTACATATACGCAAATATCTACCTCCAAAAGCATCTCATCTCTTTATTATTTGTTAATTCACTGATAAAATGGAAAACCTGTGCTGTCATCAATTCGTTCCACATATACAGTAGCTGAGACATGTTTTTGGTATCCATTTTGAAACCGGATGGTGAAACCATACACTCGTTTATAAAACTAGAAACTAGTTTCACTTTGAAACCATGTATCCGAAACTAGACACTCGATTATAACAGGAGAAACCAGTTTCAAAGACCAAAACCAGTTTCGCAATAATCGAACAGGCCCTTATAGTCTACATACAGTTCCTGAGCCACATTAATTTCGCTACTGCCAAGCCCCCTCAGCAGTGCTAAAGCCCTAACTAAAGCAAGTCTAGATTTCCTCTGAATCTCTGGTCTCCCTAGGGCTCCTTTTCAATATAAAGGGGCTTGTTTGTTACTATCCAAATTATATATATTCAGAGACTAAGCCTTAGTCTACCTGACCACAGACCTAATCCGGATCTTCCATATATTGCAGATTGTTCCGATTCTGAGTGTCGGTAGTTGTTGAAACTTCTCAGCAAACCAAGTCTCATCGATCGCTACAAGGAGCTTGTACCACGTGACGATTTATCACGGAAGTGACACAACTGGCAGAGGAGACATTTTGGTGGCCAACTCACGACGCACCCCCTGGTACAGACTACACGTACAGCCTGTGTGAAGAATAATTTTGAGACCGAATAGAATTGGAACATTGCGGAGTTTTCATTGTTAGCCTTTCCGCACACAGTCTGATCAGCAGGTGGTGGTTATTTGGTAAGTCGTAAAAGTTTTTGAAGTCGTAAAAGTTTTTGAAGTAAGGCCAGGGAATTCCCCTTTTTCTTTCGTTGAAGATTAATCCATAGGCGCCCGACTCTGATGTATTATATTTTATATATATAGGTCATACTTATAAATACATCAGAGTCGGGCGCCTATGGATTAATCTGCGGACGCGAAGTTGTTTCTGAATCGACTAAAACATTGTAAGGTACTGTACAATGAATAAACGATAAGCTCACGACATTAGTTTTTTTCAACTCATCTTTTCGACCTGTGACTGATCCATGATATATCCCAACACGAGCTGAATTCGACGTTCTGGTGATTTCGACGATTGCTTTGCTCTCGCTATATCGGGTGAGTACGTGTGCGATCGGAGTGCACAAACAGTTTCACTGGTAGGGCGGCTGCCCTGTCATGAGAAGTTTTATTGACAATCGAAATCGGGAAGTAAAGTTACATAAAAAGCAAACAAACATCAATATTATTTACCCGAGATCGTTAATACCACTTTAGATACAAAATCAGTTGCCTTTATAACAAAAAATAGCAAGCGAAAATTCAGTAAGATCAGTCGTTTGCTGGTGACAGGTAATATATAAATAGGAAGCCACGTGATCACAACACTCCCTCGCAGTGCGGAGCAAAAAGTATGGCTCATTGTCGAAAACCCATACAAAATAGACGGATGTTACGAGCGGCCACTGTTACGCCGATACGATGTCATCAACGCTATTTTTGTAGGAAACACTTGATATTTTTGTGTGAAAAGATGAATATATTCTTTACCACAACAGTATTAGTATGAATGTGAGAGTGGATGAGTTTGTTTTGTTTTTTAGACAATGTCAGAATTTCTACCAGTAAGATTTCATACTGTACAAATGAGAGTCACCCTTTTCCTGGAGATGATCCTCAATCTTATAACAGGGACTTTCTGACAATAAACACATTGAAATAAAAAAATAAATAAACAAAAACTCTTATGTCAGTGTTTACCAGAGGTAATATTTCTATGTCATATTCTTCCCCTTGATGTTAGAATAGATGGATGTCTGTATTTGTTTGATTACATGTTAAGATTTCACTTTGTCTTCAGTAAAACGGGTGGAAAGGTCAGCTGTAGGGGAGTTTGGAGGCCGAAATTTTGTTTGTTTTCTTCTAATTTTGATCAGTGAAAAATCAAATTGGTCAGGGATAAGTCTTCGAAAAGTCAGGGAATTTGAACTTTCGCCATTTGTGGCAGCTCAGTGAAACCCTGACCCCCTCACAACAAGTTGTTGTCTGACCCTGCTGGTGATGTATGTCCAATGCTTTTCAGATAACCATGTTGGAGTATGACATGTATGGAGACCCCGAGGAGGTGGAGCCATGTCCCTATGACAAGTCACACATGATCCGGCGCAAACGTATGCAGTACCATCTCATGAAATGTAGAAAGGTATGGATGAGAAGCAGTCACTGGGTAGAAGTTTACTGGTCTCTGCCGATGGAGATTCTGGTTAGAACTGATCCCAAGCAGCCTGTGCTTCTTTGAGAGGTATTTTAGATGTTGTATAGATGAAGGAAAACCAAGTTCTATGGATAGTCAACTTCTTTATTGCAATGAGTGCGACGTTTCGGTGTAGGTACTACTTCTAACACTGTTATTACTATCAAGCAAGTGATACAAAGAGTTGTAACATGGAGAATATATACATAGCTGCATAGTGAGTATATACAATTGACAAGGTTGATGTACACTGGATTGCTAATTAGCATGATTGATGATTCGAGCAGAGTAGGTTGATGTACAGAGTGATAGTGATTAAAACAATTTGCAGAATGAGTTTATACTATAGATGAGTTGATGTACACTGAGATGGTAATAGTGAGTTGAAGAGAGTACTGAGTAGGTTGATTGGTTATGATTACAATACACGAAAGGGACCATAGAAGCCATTTTGATGAGGTATTGATGGATTACTGGTGATCTTTAAATAGGTGGTGATAGGCCGAGGAGATAAAATTACCTTCATCCCGGTTCATGGTGGGGTTGAAGCATTGGAAAGTGGTAACCATCTACGACCTGCATCATCTTGGGCTATCCTCCCACATTCAGCTGATGTGCCATGATATAACTGAAACACTGTTTAAAGGTGCGTTAATCAACTCTCTCACTCGCTCACTCAATCATATTGGATACTTTTCAGAATCATACATCTAAGGAATTTGCAACATGTCCTTTCAATGCTCGTCATGAGATGCCTCGTCCAGAACTGAGGTTCCACATCACAACCTGTCCAGACAAGGCTGTCATTGAGAGGGAAATTGCACACAGTACGTTTGTCCAATCTGTCGGGACCTGTCCCCGATGCTTTGGTATCTGCTTCTTTGGTGTTTGCTGTGTATCCTGGGGCGGTGGGGTAGCATAGTGGTTAAAGCGTTGGCTTGTAATGCCGAAGATCCGAGTCCATTTCTGGTGTCCCCCGTCGTGACATTGCTGGAATATTGCTTAAAACGGCGTTAAGCCTCACTCACTCTGTATCCTCTTTGGTGTTGTGAAACTGGTGCTAGGGAATCAGTCAAGATTTCATCATTTTTTAATGGTTTGTTTTGTCTATAAGGTTGATTCCATTTCCAGGTGTTAATTTATAAGTCTGCTTGTATCTTTAAAGTCAAGGTAACATGGTAAAAAGTAACATACAAAATCCAAACGTGACAACATATTTTGTGAAATCGATCTCAGTAGTTAGGTTTCTGTTGATAGTTGATACATAATTCTACCTGGCCATTGTTTACTGGTAATAACTGGATTGTTCTGATTGAATACTGATTATTATTGTTTGTAAATGAACTTGGAGAATCATCAAATTAAAAATTGTGATTGGTTAATTAATTCTGAATGTTTTGACTTGTGATTATTAAAGGATTGATTCAACATAAATAGAAATTTGATATCAAAACGTATTTTAACATAAGAGTGTTAAAAGGTATGTTTTTTTATCATTTCAGACCATGAGTTACAAAGTGAAGAAGCTGGCACTTTCAAGGGCTGTACAGATGTCCCAGCGTACAACCAGTATGAAATATCATGTTCAGAAAGCTGGGATGAAGGTATATGGTTCTATATTACCTTGTGTGTTATATCTTGATTCTGTTAAATACACTGGAACAATTCGCTGGGTGCTTGACAAACAGGAAGCAAGTTCATTATCAATAATAATTTTGAATTTGAGAAGATATAAAATGACTCTATACTCACTGATCTTGCAGATGTGAATCCCCATCCAAGAATTGGCGTCAACCCAGAGTTCCTTGATAAAGTCAAGTTCAAGAACATCACAGGGTAACGCTGGACTCTTGATAGCATAGTGCTGTGGTTGTTACATAATGCATGGTTTTCAGTAGGTTTTTCCAAATGGTACATTGGGAAGATCTGGGTTAGAATTGGTCTTCAGCAACCCATGCTTGTCGTAAGAGGCGACTAACTGGTTCAGCACGTGGTCAGGCTCGCTGACTTTGTTGACCCATGTCATTGTATCCCAATTGTGTAGATCGGTGATTGTGCTGTTGATCAATGGATTGTCTGGTCCAGACTCAATTATTTACATACCGCCGCCATATAGCGGGAATATTGCTGAATGCGGCGTTAAACAACAGACCAACCATATAGTACAAGTTGTAATGATTTTTATTCATTTTGTTTCTGACCCGTGAAGGTCCGGGTTAGAATGAACCTTCAGTAACCCATGCTTGTCGTAAGCGACGACTAATGGGATATGGTGGTCAGGCTCACCGGCTTGGTTGACACATGTTATCGGTTCCCAATTGCGCAGGTCGATGCTCTTGCTGTTGATTACTGGATTGTCTGGTCCAGGCTCAATTATTTACAGACCGCCGCCATATACCTGGAATATTGCTGAGTGCAGCGTAAAACTAAACTCACTCACTCATTTTGTTTCTTATTTAACCAGGTCAACCCTGCAAAAAAAATTAACTGAATTTGCTATATTTTTTAGATTCAGTGTCATGAATTTGTATCATCATATCACCTCGACTCACCAGTCAGACCTGTAAATAAATATTGGAAAGTTATTACTCTAGATCTTGACTGCCTTTAGAATCATATGCTTCAATTCTCATTCAGAATGACTCCCGCTGAGAAGCGGTCCTTTCACAGACGCCTGAACCCAGAGCATGAAGAGTGAGTGTACATGTGCTACAGGGTACACAACACCAAAATGTTTTCCCATAGACTTCTATAGTAACCTTAGATTTTAAAAAAATTATTTAGGCTATCAACAGCCATTCCATGTACACATGGGTACAGCCTGGCCTTTAAACTACAATAAAACACAATTTGTGGCCAACTTGTCCGGCTAATGTTCCGAGCACAGGAAGCGGAACACATCAACCCCAGTTCCGCACCAAATGTCACCTACTGGAAAATATCTGTACACACAATAAGCATAAGTCATGGTGATAAAAATGACAGCAGTAGATACTTAAAATTGTGCTCAGTTTTAACTACTGGATGGATGTGCATTTAAAAAACATAAACATCTTACACTATTTCATCCATTCACAGCTGTCACGTGTCTCTGTCTCTTCAGTTGTTTATATACGGTGCTCGCTCAGGGAGCATGTGATTCTGATTTAGTGTAGTGGAACATACAGATGGGATACAAGGGAGATAATCCAGTAGTGTAACAACAGGGGAAGTAATTACCTATAAGGCTTTCCCCATGTGTACTTGTCTTTACCATGTTTACTGAGTTCTTACAGACTGAATTCAGGCATTACGAGTACATGAACCCAGCTGTTGTGAATACTGCACAGATGTGCAATGTGTCATGGCTGCATTGTTGTTACAGTCAGTCCGCGTTAATCCGAACACTTCTGTCTTTCATAAAAAACATTCGGACAGTGAAACATACGGACTAATGAAACGAACCGTTATTTCCACCACTACAGTAGAGTTACTTCCCTTTGACATACGGAGACAAGACCATAAAAACGTGTACATGTATCAAATGACTTTATTACAGTTTGTATTTGTAACAACTTGGATATTAATATAACAATCAATGCATACAATAATGGGGGCAGTGGGGTAGCCTAATGGTTAAAGCGTTCGCTCGTCACGCTGAAGACCCAGGTTCGAATCCCCACATGGGTACAATGTGTGAAGCCCATTTCTGGTGTCCCCTGCCGTGATGTTGCTGGAATATTGCTAAAAGCGGTATAAAACCAAACTCAGTCAGTCAGTCAGCATGCAATAATGTCTGGATACAATTTACATGTAACAATCAAAACTCACTCGGGTTGAAAGAATTTACCAATGACAGTCTGCTTGGAGAGTGGCTTGAAAGATGTATATGTCACATGTGAGGAGCCTAGTGGTCAAAGCGTTCACTCGTCACTCCAAAGACCCAGGTTCGATTCCACATGGGTGCCATGTGTGAAGCCCATTTCTGGTTTCATGGATATTGCTGGAATATTGCTAAAAGCGGTGTAAAACTTAACTCACTCACTGACTCACACTGGTGCAGTATTCACACACTCACCTACTCACTGACTCACACTGGTGCAGTATTCACACACTCACCTACTCACTGACTTATATATCAATGTTTTCAGGCCAGTAGTTCCTGCACAGCAGAACAAAGAGAACCAGGTGCCCAACCCTGATGGCAAGCTCCGCCTCCCCAAAAACAAGCCTCAAGCCTTCAGCATGTACCAGTCTGCCGCCCCAGCACACAGTCAGCAGGTGCCCTCCACTGTCTTCGCCTACTCCTTGGCTCAGAGTGGGCTAGGCCGGGGCCGGGGTAAGTGAACGATAGTTTCTAACTACCAAAGAAGAAACTGAAATATTTTGTCTCTAGCCTTGTGAATACCTGGGGCAGTAGTGAATAAACATTCTCAGAATTGTCAATAGAATGCTCCTTATTTGCTGAAAACAAAAAGTAACTTTTAGAGGTTTGTTAACTCTTTGTACATTTATGGGAAAATGATTTATTCTGAGGAGGTGTATCAGTTCTGCCCCTGTTGTGTGTGGGTTTGTATTTGTATTTTCCCTGATTTTTGTCACTGGCTTACCAGATCCCATGGATTTCACTGAACTAGTCAACATCTTTGACTTGCATCACTTTTGGCATGCCAATAGACCGATCCAGTCCCGGCCGATAAGCCCCACCCACTTCGTTTTTGACGTTAGGGGAGACAACCACTGACTAATCACAATGGTGTCACCGCCGGCGAAACGTACGTGATTGCGAATGTTGTTAATGAATTCTGTTTGTTGTACTTTGGTATCCATCGTTTGTGAATGATATTTAAAAAGGAAAGTTATACGTATTTTATTTTCAATATATGTTAGTTGACAGGTTGTACAATTGGCGGGTGAAAATGAGTTAGATCTACATGCCTGATGAAAAATCGTCTCAGCCAGCTGCTGAGATTGGGAAGCATATTTTCTACCAAATAATCTATCCGGCAATTCACGTTCCTCTAAGATATTAGCAGGGGAAGGTAACTGAATTATGTTGTTTGTTGTTTTTTCTAAAAATCCCATCGTAATATTATAAAAACTCGTGAACACAACCACATGTTCAAGTTGCAGATCGTTTTGGTATCTATAAATAGATTGTCACAACTGAGCGTGCTGCCTTTATTTATTTATCCGTTGTTCAAATTTAGTTAATTTAATAGTTTGTGAAAACATGGGTTTCTACCTTTCAAGGAACAAAGCAGGAAAACAGTATCCTAACAGCAGCTAATCTGCAGCTATTCTCAGTAAAATTTCTCTCTTCAAAATCTGTACACCATCCTAAAATAACACTGAATATAAGGAAATCCATTTTTTTAATAATCCTTTCCAATTTATTTTTCTATGTATACTTTGTTGTGGAATCCTAATCTACAAACTTCCACTATAATGGACTTCATGAACTGCCAGCATTTATGTACAGGTATGTCGCACCACCATAAACACAAAGAATCCAAGATACAGTCTGCACCTGTACACTAACTGACACATCTTCCAGAAATAGGAAACGTGTGATGCAAAATCTTTGAACAGAGGATCCACAGTTATCCAAACAATTAACTAGGATGAAATAGAATGTTACACAACATACAAATATACTGCTTTTTCTTCAGATATATTTAACTGCTAACTACTAATGTAAATAAGAGGCAAAGAATATATTCAAAGTTTAAAGCTTTTTGTCAATAAAATTACATATTGACATTATTGCTTCTTAAACAATGATAATCTTTGTTTTATTAGATCTGAGACCATATCCCTTAGGGACATAACACTAATTCTGATCTATTTCCTTTTCTGAGATACTTACTAGTGTCATCAAAATTATATTAAAGTTGCTTAATAATTTGGTAAGAGTCATAACAAAAGTTTAGGAAAACATACATGAAAATGTCCTGAAGCTTTCACCTCCTGCAATTAAACCAGTGTGCAATTTAATATGAATTTAAGCTTATTTTCCAAACAAGCATCAACAAAAAAAACAAAACAAACAAACCTTGAACAATTTGTCCAAAACCAACATCTTAATAAACACTACTTTGGCTCAGTCTTCAAATTTTGGTAACCTCCTCAAAAGCTGATGATTTCTAAGAAGTATTACATGAAATCGGGGTTGAATATGTTTCAATATCCATTCCAGTTACATGAACAGTCAACTTAGAATTCTGTAAGTTATTTGGTTCCAAGACTGAATAATGCCTGGGTGTGACCAAAACGTAGCCTTTGTTTTTTTCAAATTCTCTGGATGTTGAAATAACTTTATTATGAGTGATGATACTAGTGATCACTCTCTGAATAATCTTATTAGTAAACATATTATAGGTCCGTCTCCGCCTAAATTCACATGAATCTGATATGTGAGTCAATTAAGTAATTATTTATAATTGATTGGATTATTATCTATTTTATTACCTTTCCACGTTCCCTGAAGGAGGCAAGATTCTTAAAACATACCTTGCTATCATTTCCAGTGAATTATAATTAAAATGACAGAACTATGTTATTACTCCTAAAATGTACCAATGTACCTCCCCTACATGTAAAAAATTTATGCTGTGACAAAAAATCAAAACAAATAATGTTCTCATAGTTAGGAACTAAACTTATATTTCACTCCGTCCGATATTCCACAAAGTCACTATTCTTCTCACATAGTTTTCGTCTCTCCGATCCACATGGAGTAAGCTAAATCAATTCAAGGTCCCATCTCTTTATAGAAATTCTGAAATATTTAAGACATGGTTTTATAGACACTCATTTGAATTAATTTTGATGTTTGGATATTGTGTGATAGGCAACTGCTGACACTGACGATATTTCCGTTTGGATAAAAAATATTACTCCTCGAATGTTTTGCACTATCAACAGATACTGTACTGTACATAGGACTTCAGATTGTGCTTTTGAAACTTTAAAACATTCTAAAATGTGTGACAAATTTAAGAATATCTAATCGTGAAGGCAACCATATCCACCACATTGTTCTTTAATGAAAACCAGTTTTGCTCTTTCAGTTGACCCTAACCGAAATCAGCTCACTGTCAGATTTGTTTACATTGTGTCACGGCTTTTTCGCCTGTGTCATTTCAGGTTTATGATGTACCAACTCAATGCCCAGTAGTTACTAAAAACGTGAAGCAAAAACTGCTATTTGTTGTCATCCATTGGTAATGCTTTTGCACATGTGCAAAAGTGTAAATTCGTGCAAATTCTCACCTTCGAGCAGACGTACAGGTTTTGTGAACGACGGTGCCGACATTTAACTGCTCGTTAGGCCTATCGCATTCCTTGATCCGCCTCAATTTTTTTGGCTTGATTGTAATGGTTTTGTTAAAGGCACACATCAAATCGCAGCAATATGTAATAGATATAGCGAGTGTAAATGGCATAATTCGAAGCACATCGCTTCGGAGGCATCATTTGATCCCACAGTGTGCCCGGCCTGCTGATTGGCCAAAATTGACACATGCGCCAGTTTTGATTGACAGACTGGATCGGTCTATTTATTTATTCCCATGATTTTACCCTAATGTTGAAGCCATTAATGCAAATAGCACCCTTTTATCTGACAAATATAAAGCTTATTGTCCCCCGCTGCAACGCGGAACGGGGCACTATGTATTCAGGGGCGTCTGTACGTCCGTCCATATGTACTTATGTCCCGTTTCTTGTTAACGCGATATCTCATGAACTGTTGTACCCTATGTCTTCAAATTTTTGAGACAGCCTACATTGGGGGATTACGCAGACACCAGTTTATTTGGGTGAATTTGACCTTATCTTCAAGGTCACCACGACACTTTGACCACTTTTCAAACTTATTTAAATGCGATATCTCATAAAACATTGATATCTCATGAACTGTTGTCAAGGTCACCATATGTCTTCAAATTTGGTGACATTTCTATGTTGGTGGTCTATTGGGGATTACCCAGACACCAGTCGATTTTGGTGACCTTGACCTTATCCTCAAGGTCACCACGACACTTTGAACACTTTTCAAACTCTTGTTAAAGTGATATTGTATCCAATATCTTCAAATTTGGTGACAGCCTACATTGGGGGATTACGCGGACACCAGTTTATTTGGGTGAATTTGACCTTATCTTCAAGGTCACCACGACACTTTGACCACTTTTCAAACTTATTTAAATGCGATATCTCATAAAACATTGCACCCAATGTTTTCAATTACGTTGACAGCCTACATTTCGTGATTATGCAGACACCAGTCATTTCAAGCTTCTTGTATGTGACCAAAAAATTAAAAGTAGTAAATATAGATATTCCATTCTTTAGCGGCGGGGGACATTGCCATATCAGTGGCAAACACTTGTATCAGTTAAGAATGATTAATTAATATCTTTTATGATTAAATTCTTTATTTTTTGTTCAGTTAACATATTTTATGATACATTTGTATAATTTCACACAGGAGTTAAAGGTGTCAGTGCCCCTCGTCCTGGTATCAGCACCTCGTCAATGGGAAGAGGCAGGGCTGTTGTCAGCATGGCCCCACAGCCAGTCAGACCGTCGGCTCACAAACCTGTGTCCCAAGGCGTCCCAGCACCAGCCCAGCAGGCTGAAGTTCCTAATGTAAAAATCCCACCCTCTCAGCCAGTCCCCCAACCTCAAATCAACATTCAAGTTCCAGTTGGAGCGTTCCCTGACCAGACGCGTGTCAAGCCTGTAGGGCGGGGGAGGCGTGTTGGTGCCCCACCTCCAGCAGCCTTCTATGCTGGTCTGGGTGGTGGTGACTCACTGCTGACTGGCGGCGTTAATGGTATTACAAGGGAGAGTTCAGCAGAGGCCAGTAACTCTAGTCAGTTTTGTGACTGGCCATCCTTAAACCTTGGAAGCAAGAGCAATGGAGGATCGTTAAAGATCGGTCATGGCAGAGGATCACCCAGAGGTAGTCTTCCATCTTATAGTTGCCATAGTTGCAAAGGAAATAAGAATTTAAGAATTAACAGTGATAATTATGAAAAACATAATGATCATATGAGTTGATCTGTGAGTTGATACAAAACGGCCATAAGGATGAAATACAGATACAAATAATGTTGATGATAATGATGATGATTCACCGATATTGTTACACTACTGACATAAGGGAACTGATGAAATGTTAGTTAAGGTGTAATAATGATAATTGTCAGGAAATCAGATCGACATGATCAACATCAGGCGTGTCCACCATGTTGGGCGTTACACCTTGGTGGAATACTATTGACCATGTTGACTAACTTGGGTATAGTTTCCTTTGGTATTGCACGCCATTGTGCCTTAACACCAGCCAGTGCTGACATCTTTTTGTTCAAAATTTCTACTGATAATTATTGCGAATGGAACCAGGACAGGGTACAGTAGCTCATCAACATGTACTTGGCAAGTCAAATGTGCATTGACAACCAAATCAGTTCGCATGTCGCATGCTACTGCTCTACATCATTACACAACCGCCCATGAACTGGTCATGATCAAGAAACTCACTGATGTTTCAACCTGAATCGGAGCCAAACCCTTGATTAGTCTGTAAACATGGTGTTGAGGCTATTGACAAACAGCCCATCCCGCATATTGACTAACCCACCTCAGTCTTCATTGCCAATGGTAAACTTTGATGTGAAATTTCGTTGCAATTAGATGTTGTATTCTGATGCCATGCCACTGTTGTAAATGGTCACCTCAGCGAATACTACATTAAACTAAATAGTTCCCTTATTTTGGTTTGATAGTGTATTTGTTAGATCCTCGTAATAGTTGACATTTTGTTTGTCACATTTTGCTGCTGTTGGTCATATCTCCATTTTTGCTACTTTTCTTGAATGTTCTTTAATTTGTAATGGCTTCCAACAGGTGCTGATCCCGTCTTTGTTGTGCCGAGAGTTCCTGCTCACAATGGCAATGTGAAGATACCTGCCAAAGACTGGTTTGGTGTGTACTGTTACCATTTACTCAACAGTTGGATGCCTAGTTAAATAAAGAAACAATTTTCTGTTGATAATAGTAAAATCGTTACATGCTTCATAAAGTTCTTAAATTACTGTTGTTTTGGCTGTAAATTATTAAAACATCTTTTTTGTGGAGGTACGATAGGAGCACACCCTTGATTACATGTTTAGACTGATATTTGGATATATTTGTAGATTCTGCTGGCAGCAGCTCTGGATCTGGGACTGATACACCAGTTGATACTGTAAGTTAGGGGGGGATAACAATGCGTTTTGCAGGGGGTATTAAAATGGACTCCGTGTGCGCGTCGTCCGTCCGTCCATGCGTGCACATTTGTCTTTTCCGGAGCAGAACTCTAAAACCGTTCAATATTTCTTCAGCAAACTTGGCACATAGATAGGTCTGGTGGTGTACTGGTGCCTTTTGGTAGTTTTGGATTTCTGAATAAAATATTTTTGACATTTCCATGGCAACAAGTTTGACAGACTGAAATTGGTGATAGTGCTCCTTTCTGGAGCAGAACTTTAAAAACTTTTCAATACTCTCCTTCCACTTTTCTATATACACACCTAAATATTTGACATAATCATAACTCGTAGACATAATCATGAAGAGTATTTTGCCATTGCAGGGGATATTGATGACTTTGTCTTCTTGTTATCATGGTGATGGTCTCATGCGGTCGTCAGCATCCCACTGATAGTTGTCATGGTGACGGTGTCATTCAGCCTTCAGCATCCCACTGATAGTTGTCATGGTGACGCTGTCATTCAGCCTTCAGCATCACACGTTTGGACCCAAACCTTCCCTACACAACAAGGGGGCTTGGATGACATGGTTGTCTGAAGTGCTGAAATTTGTAGAGCAGAGTTGTCTCCCTTAGCCATCCCACAAATGATTGATGGTTTATATCACAGTTCATCAGTTTTCAGTATTCCAGTGATACGTTCTCTGATACTTATTACAAAGTTATGTTGTCCATTCTCCTACCGAATAAAACAATTACCATATGGTATATTTTGCCTGCACAGAGAAGCAACACTGTATTTTTGGATTGGCACACCAACATTGTAAAGTAATGGAGATTTTTGTGACATGTCCTGCTTTAACTTGCAGCACGGAATCGAAGGTGCTAAGAAGAAGAAACAGTTAATGAAAAAGATTCGCCAGATAGAAGCCCTGGAAATGAAGATGCAGTCTGGCCAGACTCTCAGTACAGAGGAGGTAATATTATGTGTGCTGAGTTGAACCAATCATGATCCTTAGTCCGAGTTTATGACCTTTGTTCATTGGTTTCACCGAGGAAGTTATTGCTTTTATGTCTCAGCACTTAAAGCTGACTGTTGTGATACTGGTAACTGAAAGACTGTTGGAACAGTATGATCAGCACTGACCTGGGCTAAGGATCTGGAACACTTGAATATTTTTCCTCTGTTACATTTCATGAATAAACATTGAATTTATCTTAAAGATCCAAGAAAATCATAATCATCCTTTGAAGAAAATTTTGAAGAACTACATGGCCAGCTAACATATTTGGTTGTCCATCAGTTAAATTTTAACCAATTCCCAACACGATCTCATCTCTATGGAGACAATGAATAAACATTTTCAACATAATGGGAACACAAGAGATTTGCGTTTTCAACATAATGGGACCAGATTTGCCTTGGACTGGTCGTCCGCGTCGTGACGTCACGTCACTTCAGCAAGACAACCACATTCAGCTGACCTATCTAAGGAATCAATTCCAGACTGCCACTTTGACTACTTGAAGTAGTACTTGGACTATTCCTGGCTTATGTCCAGTCAATTCCAGGACTGTACCGAGCCGACAGGGAGCACAACATCTGGCCCCGATGGCCTGCAATATGTCCAGTTTTGCTCCAACATCACTGACAGGCATGTCTTGCATGGTGAAGACAGCATCTACAGTACAGGAGACAAGATTGAGATTGTGTTTTGTTCACTGACCAGTGGACGTGGACAGTTTAGTGGCGTGGGCGTTACGGTATGGGGAGGCATCCCATCTCATGGTCGGACACAACTTGTCATTGTCAATGACAATCTGACTGGTCTGAGATACAGGGATGACATCATTGGGCCTCATATGCAGCCGTTAATTCAAGGACAGAGATGTAACGCTTCAGGATGATAATGCCTGTCCACATGTTGCTCATGTTGTGACAGATTTCCTGAGACAGCAGAACATTCTGGTACTTCCCTGGCCAGTTGTTGACCTGTCTCCTAGCGATCATGCTTGTGATGAAATGGAGCGACGTTTACATCAAGCCCAGAATCAGCCATTGATGTTATCTGAATTGGGACAAGCGTTCAGACATGGAACAACATTAGGGCTGCAACGATTCACCCAGACCTCGATTCTATTCGATTTTCGATATTGGACCCTTGAATCTATCATTTTCGATTCGATTCTTCACACAAGTAAAAACGTCAGATTGCATTTAACTTTCAGGGTCTGCTTTTTCCGTGTGAAATCCATTGTCAACTTGGCAATGTCTATTAGCAACAATTCTCATTGGATAATTAGCCCGGCGTCATCCAATCATGTTTCGCCTTATTTCAGTGCTCGAACCTGCTTGAGTTTGACTTAAAAAATTTGTTCACGCTTTTTGAAAATAATTTAAATACATATTCAAATATCGAATCAAAAAGTGATAGTGTCAGATTCGATTTTCGATGAATCGAACGTTGCAGCCCTAAACAACATTCCCCAACTTTTCTTCTATCGCTTAGTGTCGTCTATGCATCGTCGTTGCCGAGTCTGCATCAACGCCAATGGTGGACACACACAATAATGAATTTGTGAACTGACTTCCACACATCTCTTCAAGGGTGTGTCACGATGCCTAGTCTCAAATCATACAGATTTCGATATTATCCTTTCAATCGTTAAACAGTGATTATGGAAAACACCACAAATCATGTTATTTTATTCCAGTAGAGTGTAAACAAATCTTAATTTTATTGACTTGCAGGAGGTAAAGATTTCGAAGAAAGATGAACTTGAAGAACAACTGCAGGCACTGAGGTAAGAGTCAGGACTTTTTTTTGCAAGGGTGGCACAATTTGCTATACAGAGTTGCTTCCCCAAGGTCTTCAAGAAAGCTATGACTTTTGGCTGGATCACCGAATATACCAGATTACATGGAGACTGATCACAGTAATGATAGTACATGATAATTCATTACATTAAGAATGATACATGATGGTATCAGTCTACCAAGTCATATTGCAATTGTTTGATAGACTACTGTCAACAACCTCAGCCAGTTTTCAGACATTGTAACATTCTCTTGTTTTCATATTACAGTATTTGAAGCCAACATGGAACAGAAGCCTGATTAGTAGCTGGACGCCTGACCAGATGACTAAAGACTAATCAGATGACGAGCCTGATGGCGAGTCTAAAGACTAATCAGATGACGAGCCTGATGGCGAGTCTAAAGACTAACCAGATGATTTGTCCAAAGACTTCTGCCAATTGTGTGCAATTGTTAGTAGTTATACTTGCAAGGTTATCAGTTTTAATGAATGCTATACATTGTTCTTTTACCTCTTATCAGTTGACTAGTCACATGTATTTAGCTCACTGTGATGCTTGTGACAAATTTTATCATTATCAATACTGGGATTATATGTCCAGTTTTTAAGACCTATATCACTCATACACTTGTCTTTACCAGCAATATATAATGTATCCCATTTTTAAGACTTACCCAATACATCTTTTATGAGGTATATTCCAGTATCTTAAGTATTTATATGTTTATATACATTTATAGAGGATTAGATGGCCATATATCCCCTTATTCTTATTTGACATCTACGGTATACTGACAGCCGGTATACAATATAGAGAGCCCTTGTTATACCACAGAGGGAAGGGGGGAGATGTAGCTGGTGTCAGAATATGTATCACATAATTAAATAGAATTACCTATAACCTTTCTGTATGTATGAATCATGGCCATGTTTTAACCCTTTTACTTCCAACTGTATGTTTTGTCACAATTAATAATATTCTTTTTGGTTTGAAGAGCACTGACCATGAACTAATGTAAATATCAGATCAAATGAAACCTTTAAGATTTTATACATTGATGCAGACTTTAATCCTTGATGTGTTTCCATGGAAAGTTTTAAATCACAATTTTACTGTTTGTAACGTCCTGTGGAAAAAACAAACACGATGACTCCAAATGTGAGTGTAATAAGCCATGAAAGTCCTTGTGTTTTTAATAAACAATTCCAGGGCTCCCACAGGTCAGGGAAAAAGTCAGGGAAATTTGGCATTTCTCTGAAAGTCAGGGAAAAGTCAGGGAATTTTTATATGTTTTCAAAAGTCAGGGAATAGTCAGGGAATTTGGGATTTAACTCAGGGAAATTTAGGGTTTTCGTCAGGGAAAAATAAGACTCAGAATGTCGCTAATCAGGTATGGTAGTAGTCAAAGTCAAAGAAGCAGCACATGTTACAGACATTTCATGAAATAAATTACAGTTCAGATAAGAGATTGCTTTTAAGCATAACAACATGTTTTACATAAAGCCCTAGATTACATATTACATTTTCATTTCTGGAGGATAGAATGGAAGCGAAGTCACTTGAAGGATATTTTTACAGATAATTATTTGGCATGTATGGTTTTCTTAAATCAGCATAATGTGAATTTCATCTTCTACAGCCGGGTGACATAACAGACATATTCTTCTATGAAGCACAATCGGTTGGATTTGTAAATCAAACAATATGAAACATATTTTACGACATATATAGTCGACGCCTTGCCCGTCTGTCTGTCTGTCCGTCCATCCGAAATCATTTTGTTTCCGGAGCATAACTTGAAAACGGTTCAATGTTTTCAACAAAACTAGACAGATATATCAAACAGAACCTAAAGTGGTGCCTTTTGCTATTTACAGATTTTTGTCATATCTTTTTTTCTTGGTTTCCATGGAAACATATTGGAATTTGTCTAAAAAAATGAAGTTCAACTTTAAGTAACTGTCAGATGATTTGCTCTTTCATATTTGTATCGGCTGGGGGATTTGTCATCTTCTGATGACTCTTGTTTCAGTGTTCACGAATGGTGTTTCAAAGTCACAGGACATTGGGTCCTGTAAGTTTCAGATGTCTGTCTGATCCATTGAAAATGCACAGGACCCATGGAATAAAATTAAACACATATTTCAGATTTAATATTTCTTATAATTGACATTGAAATTATTAACAAACATAAGATTTGTAAACAACAAACAAGTGTCACATGTCACATAAAACAACTTCAGTCAAAGTCATTTTGAAATATACAGTCAGACACTGGGGCCGGCGGGTTGTAGACTTCTGTCTGACCGTTGGCGAATCTGCCAGATTTGTCAGAGGGTCAGACGCTATTCATGAACACTGTTGTTTAGTATGGAAAAACACTAATCCGAGATAGTGATTAACAATAGATAATTGTTTGCCTTTCAAAAACATTTTTCTTTATAGGCAACAGATCCACCTCTTCTAAAGATAACTATGTTAACAGATAATTTTCATTCATTTGTATACTGTTCCAAAATATTATAAATAGTATGATGGCTATGGTGGTTTCTAGCAAATTGTGAAAGCCCATATTGGCCAAAAATACCATATATGTTTCATTGTTAAAGTACAGCATAAGTTTATAATATGCCCTATGTTCTGACATTTGCTGTTTATTCACAAAATTGAAAGTGGTTTCATGATGTTCATAATCTAGTTGTCATGGTTGTACAGTACAGTTGAATGTAAAGTTATATCTTGCATGTTTATTCTTTCCAAATACGCCTTTGATAATTACAACATTTTGTGATAATAAAGAAATGTGTTCCTGACTTTGAATGAAACAATTCAATTAAATCATTAGTTTCACATTTATGGTCTTTGTCAAAAGCCTTTAATATAAAATACAAAGTTTTCAGATGATATATTACTGACTTCACCTGAGAATATATATTTGATGGTCACGGTCAAATGTATCTAATAGTATTATGTAACATTGTGGCAGGACAGTCAAGGAAAATTTTCTTCATCACAAATATCAATGTTTTGGTTAATGTAATAAATTAACAAATATTGTGTGTATTTATGATATGTGTGAAGGAAATATCTTAACAGGGTGGTTAGGACTGACTGAAAGGGAGGAAGAAGGCCAGTATTTAACACTTAAATGGTCAGGGAAAAATCTATACTTGTCAGGGAAAGGTCAGGGAAAAGTCAGGGAATTTTGGCCTGCCATGCCCGTGGGAACCCTGAATTCAATGTTTTACTCATAAAACGATTCAACTTCTTGAATAGGGAACCATAGTTGTTCCAGTATATATTTTGTATTTTGTTAGCTGCTCGACAGGTTTATTTTATCCCTTACAAAGTGCTTTGTTATATTTTTGCATGATTTTATCTTTACATAACCAATATAGTATTGTGGAAAATAAATATTATTACAAATAGTAGTCTTTTCTGTGTCAGTTCATCTGTTTAATGGGTTAATGGAATGACCAATGGTGGACGATAAGGTAGCGTTTGCTAATCCCGGGTCCCATTCGCCACATGGACAATATGTGTGAAGCCCATTTCTGGTGTTGCCCCCTCTCTATCTTTCCCTCTACTACTCTTTCATCTCTCTCTCGTACTATATCAATTATGCGCTTATTACACGTAACAATCTGATAAAATTGCATCGTATTTCACTACTTGTACATAATTTACTGCCTGCATAATGATTTGCTGTCTGGAACTTATTACTACTTATTGCACCATATGTATATGACCCATGTATATGGGCGGAAATACAATAAACATCTTTGACTTGACTTTGACCCATGAGGCAAATACAACAGCATGTTGTCAGGATGAGAGGGAGCTGTTTTAAAGGGTACCATTCACGAACTACAGCTTGGTAAACCCACATAAACAATCCTGTCTTCACCTGATCCCCAGTTTAGTCAAGAACCTAAAGGTCTAGTAGAAATGTATCTAAATACATTCAAACTTATTTCTGAAATACAGTATGCTTTTCTCACATTTTGTGGGACTACGCAAGCACGCACGCACACACACACACAACCAAATATTAGCCGGTCCTTCCCTTTGTTGCCAAAGCTCACATACATACACGGAGTCATTAGATAGGTAGTTAGCTAGACTGTTAGTAGTTTAGTGTTGTCTGTAGTGTTTCCACCTACCACCTGAGAGGTGAACCGCCTCCGTGGTGTAGTGGTTAGAGCGTCCGCCCGGAGAGCGGAAGGTCGCGGGTTCGATCCCCGACCGCGTCATACCAAAAGACGTTAAAATATGGTACTTGTTGGTCCCTGCCTGGCGCTCGGCATTAATGGGTACAACAAGGACTGGTCGACTCGGAGTCAGTATAATGTGTCTGAGTGGGGTATTCATGCTTCACTGCGGCATGGTATCTCAGTGAGCTAGCACTATAAACCAGCTTCAGTCTGGGCTAGTACAAGCAGCCGCACATACACATACACATGCATGCACGTCGTCATATGAGGGAAATATTCTCAAGCACGACGTTAAACCCAATTTCACCTCACCTCACCTGAGAGATGATGTTAAAGATATGGATGTCGCAACCGTAAAAGACTTATTTGTGTGTACGTTTTGTGTTTGGTGAAATTAAACCAGCAGTTTAATGAATCAGTGTATTTATCCAACTCGCGTAAAACAGTCCCTTCGTTGAGGAGATTATGAACTTGCAATTGTTGGTGCCCATGCGTGTTTAAATGAAAACCAGGACTGTGATTGTTTTCATAATATATTCCTTTTTACATAAGCCAATACAATACCAATACAATAATGAGAGAGGTTGATTTAGGCATCTGTACACTGAAAGTGTTTGTAATTGGTATATAAGAAGTCTACATAAAGTGTCAACACAATCATACAGACAGCCCGATGAAGACTTGGATGCTTCCAACTTTAGGTATGGTTCCGACTTACCAAGGATAAGAGTAACCTTAGATTCGAACCCAACATCATCCTGCTTCGACTTACAAAAGTGATTAGATAAGTGGCAATCCTGAGATGCGGGCCAAAAGTCACAGGGTTCCGCTAAGGAATGGAATTTGGCACTTGAGACTACCTGGCCATCGGCTGAAATATGCATCCGACTCAAAGGTATAAAATGTAAATGTTAGAAAAACATGCAGTCACCTTCTAACTGAACACTGCTTCATTGATTTATGTGTTCCACAAGATCATGACAGTAAACCTGAATACACAGCTAATTAACCACCGGGCTGGTATCGTGAAGCACACGTTAGTCAAGGTAAATGTCTATATGGGGTGTGCAGGTATCTAAATATGAATACATCTACGATAACAGTCTGAAAATTTCCACTGTCAACACAACTCCTTACTACGATGTAGTTACGATGGCTACGCAAAGTGAAGGGAAATGCAAAGGAGGTCATGCATGAATGCAGGTATCTTTACAAACAGACATGACACTCCACAGACGAGTCTCCAGAAAACAGTCTCGCCCAACAGGTAAACAGCATTCACCTCATGCATGAAACCAGATTGGCCGTGTGCTGCATAAGTTACCTGAAGACGATCTCGCCCAACAGGACCTCAGCAGGCACCTCATGCATGAAACCAGTATGGCCTTCTACTGCCTGTGTTTTCTGAAGACGATCTCGCCCAACAGGACTACAACAGCCAGAATGGCACCCACCAGCAGGAGTAGGAACGGTGCTGCAAGTCTCCGAATCGAAACTTGTACAGCCCTGGTGGTTGGTTGTTTTTTGTACACAGCAGGCCCACAGAACCCCGCTTTCCACCATTTCCGCTGCAGCATGTGTATTGTTCCATCCTCTCTCAATTTGAGCAATGCATCATCGATTTTCTGCTTGAGACCGGACCCTTGATTTGTGAAAAGAGCCAAGGCCTGACTGAAATAACTTTTTCCATACACCATAACACTACATGGTGGTCGCTCGGCATGGTATTCAGCTGTCAACGACTCCATAATCATTACAAAGTTTCCATGACTACGTCTTACTCTTTCAATTCCTTCTGCAGTGTTGTTGACAAACGAGTTCTGCATCTCAACATAGTCAGCCACACGCTGGTACATGTCTATTTTGCTCGTCTTGAATTTCTGAAACGCACTTCCATGGCGCACCATTCCAATCTGGATTTCACCACCATCAACTATGTCCTCAAGACCTTCAAAAGGCAGTGGTTGCATCCTTACTCCGGCCGACATGAAGGTCACAGCTGCTCCTATGTAGGCCACCACGGTGAAGAAGATGAAAATGAACCAAGACACGGCCAATACCCGTCCTGCCAGAGACCGGGGCGTTTCTCGGTAACCTGCAACACGTCATGAACGTTCAGAAACATGAAAACACTATGTTATTTAGAAAGTGGTCATATGGTATGTTCGAAAAAGTACCAGAATCTGTACTTGACTTACTGAGAAAGTGTAATCCCATATATAACGTGTTACGTCCAGAAGCAAAGATTTGGTAGTATTAATATCACTACATGTTAAACGTATGCTAGTGTCATCGACACTTACCATGTCCACGTTTTATCATATGAATACAGTTTAAATGTTTCCCAACAAGGTTTCAAATTAATTTGGAATATATTTTGTCAAACGTATCCATATTGGAATATGGATTGTAAGAGAAACGTTTGGAATGTGAGGTGCATTTCTTGAACTGGTTCACAGTTTTACCTTGCAGTGTGATAGTGCTGAGCACAAACATGAAACTCTCTCTCAGACCAAAGCTGTGTCTTGCACCTCTGGGGTCTTTGTCCGATGCCACCTGTCTCCATTCAAACGGGTTGAACCGACCGATGAGGACGAACAGGATTGCCACGAGGAGAAGCGCAAACAGGATAGACAACCAAAGCTCCACCGAGAATGGTTCCAGCAAAAAACTAAGACCAGGGTCATACCTCCTAGGCTTATTCACCAGAAGACGTAGAGTCTGACTTAGGTATGGCTTGGAAAAGTCCACAACCCGTTCCCTTTCTCTGGTAATGATGACGTCTCCCAGACCTATGCTTGCCTCCTGGTCAAGGAAACGTTAAAATATCCTCATCTCCTAATATGGATTTGTTTGCAGATACATTTGGTAAACATGAACGTAGAGTGGTTAATATTTTGCGTCGTGCGACAATGAATATACTGAGTCAAATCATATATGTAAAAAGAAATATCAATTGTTATACTATAGTAGACAGTGTTCGGGTTTTATAATATTATTCCCCAAGTATCGATTCACGAAACAACTCACCAGAGCACTTTTGAATCAATCTAAATATCGTGCACCCCACAATAGTGCTAAAACGTGTTTTTCACGTGCCACTGATTACGTTATCTTATCATGGCACGTGCATTTGATCGCACATGTTCCCATCAACTGTATAATAATACAAAGTGGAAAAACACTTTAAAGCACTATTCAGAACAGCCAATTCTTATGCCGCGTCTCTCAAATGTGCAGCGTGAGCATGCCGTTGGCATGCTGGGAGCGGGGACGTCAGAAATTGACGTTGCAAGGACAATGGGATGCAGTCGTCGGACTGGGTTTTTTTTACAGCCTCGACTGCAACAAACTGGCGCGACCAGTTCGACGACCATGTCGCGGAACCATTTTGACGCCATTACATCGACGTCAGAGTTTGCTGTGGGCCCAACGACACATCCGATGGACTCACAGAGACTTGAATCGAATTCTCTTCAGTGATGAATCAAAATGTAACCTCAGATTCGCTGATGGTGAGTGTGGAGGCGACGCCGTGAACGTTATCCTCAGTGTTGTGTACAGGAAGTTGAGAGATTTGGGGGCGGAAGTGTCATCGTTTGGCGTGCTTTATGTGGGATTGCCCGTTCCCGATTTCTGGTTATCCGTGGAACCTTAATGCTGCATGTTACCGCGACCAGGTTCTAGCCCCCAAACGTATACCATTCGTGGCAGCACATTGTCATGGTCTGCACTTTCAACATAACAATGCCAGACCCCATACAGCCATCTTGACCAGGAATTACCTGCAGAACGCAAGAGTCAACGTTTTTGATCGGCCGTCAAGGTCACCTGATCTCAATCCAACCGAGCACATCTGGGATACTCTTGGTAGACATCTGCGCATTCTCAGGAAACAACCTCAGAGTTTGCAGGATCCTGGCGTTGCTTGGCAGTTGTGAACGCACTTGGTGGCTATAAACGCTATCGAACGTTTGAAGCATCAGATTTAATTTCTTGCGACTTGACACTTCGTTGACGTCTTTTATTGATAAATTTTGTAACCACATGGAACCGATTTTTGGCATTGTGATCATTCTCAGTTCATCCTATCGACCTTAACAAATAAATGATAACCTCTATCCCACATTCTTGTGTCCATTCTATTACGTAATATTTGATATATGATTGTGAAGTTTCTAATTTGACTCAGTATATTTGGGATAACCAAATCTCGGACTTCCAACTATAGTGACTGATATTCCCATTAGGCCGATGCTGTATTGGATATGCCTTTCCTGTGAAATTCTAAATATCTTTTGATTTTTGTTTTAAATATTGAAAAGGTGCTTATTATTTGCTGTGTGTGATAAATTCGGTCATAAACGATTCCAGGATTTGAAAAACACCAAGTGCAACTTTATGAATATAAAAGCGACACACACACCTTTCATAACCACCAAACGTTTCTGGTAAAATCAGGGTCTATTGCAGACAAAATAGACAAATTACAGGAACTACACCGTTTATAATTGTGTATACATACCCTTCGTACCACCTCTCCAATCATGCCACTCCACTGTCCATTGTTGTAAGATCCGTATTGGCCGTCTTTAGAGAGCCGAATGTTGTATTTGAAGCCCACCAACTCGGCAACTTTGTCGAGTACATCAACGAGGAATCCCTCATAGCCCTCGCCATCTTTCTTCATGACGTAGGGCTTGGACTGGAATATACAGACATGTTGCTATGATACGAAGACAAATACGCTCATTGATAGTAGAATACAGGTTTTACTCCGATTGTTCCTGGAACGAGTAGCCTGTGAGTGATAATGGATAATGATGATATCGCATAGAATCAATCATCGTGAACCAAGTATTCGAACAAAAATGTTTTACAGTAAGTCACTGAATTCGTTAAACGCTGGTTTGACGATATTACAGTTTTATCACAGTTTGTGGGGTTTCCATACAGCGATCTCAAGAGGCGCGTGGTGAAATTCATATTACAAGACCACTTAGCCTTATTCATGTCACGATGAGGTTTGAACTTGGTCAGTACTTTTCATATCAAATGGTACGTTAATTAACTTACAAGTATCGAGGTAACGGTGTACTTTAGAGCTGACATCATGGGTTGTCGAGCTGTGCTGAAAAAGAATAAATAAGTATGAATCCGTTAAAATCTTAATCAGGCATTACGCGCCTGGATGGAAGTTTATTGTTAATTCACGCCATCACCGAACCTTGCAAAACATTGTGTGTTTTTCGATATTTTTAAAGTAATTCTTCATCATTTCCTATGTTCGTATGTATCTATGAATCTCCCAGATCAACATAGTTTGATGTTGTGATCAGTGAATCTCCAAACTATAAACCATCTGTAGCATGTGTTATATTTGGGATTACACCTCAGTGAAGTTCCCTTTCCAGTACGTGTTAGATTGAGTCCCTAATCGCCAGCACACGAAGTCAACCATCTAACCCACTCAGCCACCGCAGCAAACACAATCTCATGCTTATGTATGCCCTTAACCGTACCATGCCCATCCCTTGATGGATAACGGTGTAAGACTGACTGACTGACTGAATTTAGTTTTACGCCGCTTTTAGTAATATTCCAGCAACATCACGGCGGGGGACACCAGAAATGGGCTTCACACATTGTACCAATGTGGGGATTCGAACCCGTGTCTTCGGCGTGACGAGCCAACGCTTTAACCACTAGGCTACCCCTAACGGTGTAAGAACATTCATCGAAAAGTCGCTTCTAATTGTAGCAAACAGATGTTCATCATTATGTGCTAACCTTACGCACTTACGAGGCAACTTCTCAAAGAAGTTCGATGTGTTTTGCGGATAGGGTCATAGGGTAACCACAAGCAATAACTTTACAGAACAGACACACAATTGAAATAAAATATGTTTCATGCGAACGACCCATATAGTACAATCGCTTTGATCCAAATACGTAAGCATTAAATAGTGCAATATTGGTATATGCATGCGTACCAACCTTGAACATCCGGGTAAGAATTGGTCTTCAGCAACGCTGCTGATTGCGGCGTTAAACAACAAACAAACAAACAAACAAACAACCTTCATGTAAGTATAAATATTTCCGCATTGTTACCCTGGACAATATTTGAGATCCTTGACACGAAAGAGAATCTGGGAATTTGACACGATCGGGGAACCCGACAATTCACAATGATCTGCAGCAGCTTTACTTGGACAACAGTGCCACTCGTGTCCCCCTTCAGTGTGTGATATAGTCGTTTATAAACAGTCAATAGATAAACTTACCCTAATCACTTTCGGTTCCTCAAATTTCTCCTCCAAGCGCGGACCGTACTCTGTGCTAAGTAACAACCTTGACAAGAATAAACATATTTCCACAGCTCCGCTTATTTCAGCCAACTATATTATGGGTTATATGTCACTACAGCTGATGCAACATAATTGTTCAACCTTTCCCAATAAGCCATCGACCTTTTCGGAAGGGATCACTTAAGCAAATGGTATTCTTCCTGCAATTATACCCACATTGTGATCGCTCCGTTGACATTACGATCATAACCTAGACGAGTGGAATCACAGCTGATAAGCCAAGTCTGACAAACATTGTCCAGTTGTGGTCAACCTCACCTGTTCACACATTTGTACCATGACATAAGAACGATACCGAATGAAACTTTCTTAGAATTTCCAGATGTCTGAAACACCAAACAGTTGATGATGTGTCGTGTAGTGTGTGACTGTTGTATGATTGACTGTTGTGTGTGACTTCTGCATGTGTGACTGTTGCATTTGTGTCTGTTGTGTGTGACAGTTGCATGTGTGACTGTTCTGCGCGTGACTGTTGTATATATGACTGTTGGGTGTGACTGTTGTATATATGACTGCTGTGTGTGACTGTTGTATGTGACTATTGTGTGTGTGACTGTTGTATGCGTGACTGTTGTGTGTGTGACTGTTGTCTGTATGACTGTTGTATGTGTAACTGTTGTGTGTAACTGTTGTG